ACAGGGCAATCCAAAGCTGATATAGATAAATAGATAGATAAGAAATTACATGTCAAAATGCACCTGTTCTGACTTACATACAAATTCACCGTAAGAACAAACCTACAGATCCTATCTTGTTCATAGCTTGGGAATTTTGCACTACCTTTTTAGCAGTACATTTGACCCCTTTTCTACCAGAGGCAGAAGTGATATGAAAAAATAAACATAGGTTCCTATACCACCAAGAAGAGCAGTTCAGCATGTTTCAGCAACTTTTTAATTCAATCTAAACAATATGTGTGCGTGAAGTCAAACAGTTGGGTTGGGTAAACCTTGTATAAGTAAGCAAAAACATTTTGAACCTTTTTGAAACCAATAAAAGGCCTTTTCCAAAATGCAACAATGTCTGCTGTACATTGCCTCCCTATTAACACATAGCACCCCACTGTAGCAATCCAAATAAGGCCAGTTTTTAGAGGCTTCTGTTGAAGAACCCATGCTATGAAACCTTGAAGAAAAAGGGCTAATCTACACCCTGCTGAGTTGGAAACCACTCTCTCTTTACACCAAACAGTTAATCCATTCTGGGCTATATATGTTTTGTTTTCAGTAAACTTTTTTTTGGCAACCTAGAGAGTTAGGGCTTATTAATTTGCAATGTGGTGCTTTGGGCTTCTGGTTCAAGAAACCTTACCTTTTACCCCAAGGTTTTACAGAAAATCTGGATATTTTTTTGGTATGTGGCTGGCTCTCCAGGCAGCAGTGCTTCACTGTAGACTCAGAGGGAAGAGTCAGTGGTGGAACCAAACAGTTGGTGAGCATTCCTGCCAGGAAGTGGTGCTTTCCCAGATTTCTTTTAGAAAGGTGCATGTGTGTAGATACATGCATATTAGTATTAACACCCACACACACACACCTTTAACATGTACATGGTATGCACAACAGGGGTGAAAAAAGTGGAGGAGCCAAGAAGAATATGAAGGACTGGAAATGCAGAACTGCATCCTAATAAGATGAGTTTACTAGGGGAAAATGTGTGGTCACCTATGGCCATCTCACTATGGTGGATGTGACTGGTCATCTGTCAAGAGTACTTTGTGTGTTCCTGAATGGCAGGGAGTTGAACTGGATGGACCTTGTGGTCTCTTCCAACTCTATAATTCTATGCATCTTTGATTCTAGGTGTGGCATTAATGGGACCACTGCATGATTAATACAGACCAAACGACTGCAGTGCCAAACGTATTTTTCTCCCCATCATTCTGGCAAGTCACAAATCTCCTGGAAAATGAAGCTTGGTTTTTAGAAATTTCACCAACCATGGCATGTTTATAGTTGGGATTTTGGTTTTGTAACTCTAGAAGCAGTTTCTTCATATTTCAAAACAAGTGGTTTCCCCCCTGCTTCAGATACTTTTTCAAGCAGCCACCATATTTACTCCCAAATTTCAACAAAGTGTAGTATCTGCTGTAGGGTAGGGACTCTGACAAAAGATTGGCACTGTGTGGGTGGCCGTGTTGAACTCCCATTGTTCCAACAGAAACTGTGTTCCCTGAAAGCGGATATTTTAGTGCTACTGCAGAGTGGGTGGATTTATATTTACTGCATTTATAGTACATGAGTGGGGGGAAAGGAGGAATCTCCCACTAGAGAAACAGTGGTGATATGTATTTTCTCAACCAGCTGACACTCCCTAGAATTATCTCATATGGTATTCTGGAAAGCCCCTCAAACAGATGTGGTCATATAGGAGGCTTTTGGGAGATTGCCTCCTAGACTTCCACCCATAAAATTGTGTTTAGACACTTTAGATACCATCAAAGAGTCCAGTGGCTGTTTTTCCCTTTTCCAGGTTGGGAATGACTCACTCCAACATGGATTTTAAAATAGGCTGATTCCATGATTTTGGTGACATCCATCAAGATAAGTGGAGAGAAAGGGTTTTGGGTTTTTTGGTAATGGTCCCATTGGTTCAGAAATCAGAGAGATCTGTCAGGTCTCCTCTCTGTACATCTTTCAAAAGAATGTTTCAAAATCTTATTTGTTGAAAATCACTCTCAGCTTTGTATGATTTTTGTTTGTAGTTACAAAATAATATTTCTGTTACCACATTTTATATAATTCCATATAATTATATAAAAGGAGAACTGAGCTACTTGAACTTGCTGACCAAAAATGGGTGGTTAGGGTTAGCAAGGTGAACTCCTGCTATTAGGCTCAGCTTCTGCAAACCTAGCAGTTCATAAACATGCAAATATGAATAATCAATAGGTACCGCTTCTGCGGGAAGGTAACAGCACTCCATGCAGTCATGCTGGCCACATGACCTTGGATGTGTCTATGAACAATGGCAGCTCTTTGGCTTAGAAATGGAGATTAGCACCTCCCCCCAGAGTCGGACACAACTAGACTTAATGTCAGGGGAAATGTTTACCTTTACTTAGATATAAATATAGTTTTCCATGAATTCAGCATAGAGTTGTCTGTAGCTTCTTAGGGCTAGATTTACACTGTCCTATATCCCAGCATCTGATCCCAGATTATTTGATTTGAAATGGATTATATGAATCTATACTGCGGGATAATCAGGAATGACATCCTGGGATATAAGGCAGTACAGATCTAGCTGAGCTTGCATTATTTGAGGAACAAATTTTGTTTCCCTTCCCTGGCCAGCAGGGGGCACTCTGCACCCATTGCTTTGAAGCAGGGTGTACCCTAAGTACCAATTGATTTGAATAGGACCAGAAGCCATGAGAGATGTGGGATGTTGGGAGAAGCAGGGATTAAGTGCAGAGAAGGGAGAAAGTAGGTGGAATATGCTAGAATATTTCTACAGCGTCGATTTGATACCAATTTGATATTGATTTGATATTGATTTGAATGGCATACCGAACTGTTTTTAATAAGAACAATAAGCAATAAATAAAACAGCTACAGTATAGCCAGAAGCCAAAGAACAAGCAGGATTTTACAACTTGGTAGTGTCTCCTTTTTGAACAGTCAACTGGAGGATGTTTCAGAAGTTGGACTTACCACAGTTGGGAATAAGGCTCCATATTTAGCTTGTACTGCATTAATAGAGACCAAGGGCCATCCAGTCCAACTCCCTGCCACAATCAAAGCCCTCCCAACAGATGACCATCCAACCTCAGCTTAAAGCTCACCTGAGAACGAGACTCAACCACACTCCGAAAGAGTATATTTCACTATTGAATTTGGAAATTCTCTCCAAAATACAGTTTATCTAGTTCCACCCCCACACCACAGAACCTTTCCAGCCCTGAATATTATCATCTCCCAAATCAGCAGAAATCAAAACCAGAAGGGACAACAGGTCATTTCCAAGTCATCTGAGCTAAACCAGAATAGCCCACCTCAGGGGAGAAAACTAGGTGCTAGCATAATAGTTCAATGTATACTAATTTTGTTTCCTGCACAAAAATACTAAAAACATTAAAAACATTGTGTATAAAATTATCTTCAAACTATGTGTATAATATGTATATGAAATAGCAGAAAAAATTATGTTTAGATGGGTATTCCAAAATCTGAAATCCAAAACACTTGTGGTCCCAAATATATCAGAAAGGGGCTACACAACCTGTATTACTTTTTTTAAGTTAATGAATTCAGGGTTATGGGGGAGAAATTTCTGGGCCTTTAAATATTTTGGACTTCAGCTCCTTGATGTTTAAGTGAAAATGGCCAGCTGTAGGATTATATTGGTGTTGCAGGATCTTTCAGCTCTGCTATTACAGATATCCACTGATTCAGAAATATTTTTTGGATGAGAAAATGTTTCAACAGATCAAGCCACAAGAAAATAGTTAAATGCTGCAAAATTTCCCACATTTGAAGCTTTTGTGTGGAAAAACCTCCAATGGGTTGCTGGAAGTTTTTTTGGGCTGTATCGCCTGGTTCCAGAAGCATTCTCCCCTGACATTTCACCTGCATCTATGGCAGGCATCCTCAGAGGTTGTGAGGTCTATTACAACCCTAATGTGCAAACTTCTTGAACTTGGGGTAAAAACGTTTTTGTGCAAATTGACGTTTCTCGCACACACACACACATCTTGAAGTGCAATTATATAAATATGTAAATGTATAAAATATTTTGCGGTTTCACCCAGTGGGAGCAAAAAATTGAAATTATTTGTTCCTGGATATGGGAAAGAAGTAATAAGATTTGCTTCCTCCGTATGAAATGTCTTTTTTATGTTTTTTCTTCTTCTCCATACAATGGCTTTTCTGATAACAGTGGATTTGGACCTAAGCAGTAAAATTAAGGCTGGATCTACACTGCCACATAATTGAGTTTCAGAATGCAGATGTAACTGCTTTGACCTGGATTATATGAATCTACAGTGCCATGTAATTCAGTTCAATGCAGTTAACCTGCATTCAAAAACTATGAACACTCCATCTCCAAAATCTAATGAAGTGACTATTGTACCATATCAACATTTCTCATTGTATCTGGCAACATGCTGGAAAAACAGGAAAAAGACATGCTGGAAATGATTCAAGTTAGCAACACTGTGAATCTGATCAGCAGGGATAGCTTAATTGATTTGCACAATATGCATGGTATATTTCAATGAATACAGATACAGTATACAGTAACCATAGAAATAGGGGCAACTATTTTTTAAAATTAAAAAAAAGAAAGGTCACTTGGCAGTCTTTACTGTGGATCCCGTCAAAAGTCTGGGTAACCACAACATCAGAAATTCCTACTCGGCTTTTGTTCAAAATCGATTCTGCCAATGACGTCTGTTGAGGTTGCTTAACTTTTCCATTATAGCGCTGCCTTGAATTGCTTGTGTTGCTGCCCAGTTATAACTGCTAGTGCATGCCCTTTGCAAGCACCAAGGTTTCCTTCAGGCTGATTTGAAAAGCTGTTTCAGCCATGCTTGTGAGTACGATGGGCATGAGGCATGAAACGCATGTCCTGGATCAAAACAAAACAAACAAAACCTGGTCCTTACGATGCTTCCATTGAGAAATTCCAGTACCTCTGTGCTTTGGAGCAAGGGCTTACAATTTGGCTGCGGATGGGCTTCGCTTGGGTGTTAGGCAGGAACCTCGCTTTTGTCGGCCTCAGGAAAATCTGCCCACACTTGGCTGGATTGGAAGCCTCCAAAACATTGCAGCTTATGCATGCTTAGCAGAGACTTTTAAGAACTTGGCAAGAGATGCTGCCAAGTTGTCTGCGCTGAAAGTGCGCCAGCAAATCAGATGAAGTCTGCAGGGAATTGACTGGATTGTGTTCTCTGGCCACCAGGCGGTGCTGCAAAGCTGAAGAGAAAGCAGCTGCTGGTTTGCAGGATTCTTCCTCCTAGGTACAAAGAGTAGAAACAGTACACAGCTGGGCTAGAGGGAACCAGGGGAACTGTTCTGATGGCCATCATAACTTTAAAAAGTGGGAAGCTAGCTTCCAGTAAATACATGTGACTTCTCGGCATCCCTTTACATTCAATCTCATTGATGTTGTCTGGTTATGATGCCGTTCCCAACATGATGCTATGGAAGTGTTGATAATATTAAGATCTTACACCATCATTATAAAGATGACAGAAACATGAAATACTCTGCACACTGGGTACACTCTCAATTGGAGCTTGGGAAATAACTTCTTTTGTACGGTACCTCCTTGTATTCCCTGCTAACATGCTGATTGGGCATTCTGGGAGGTGTAGCCCCTAGCATTACAGTACTTCCAAATATAAGTGCAGAATTCCAGAAAGCTGGTGTTACTATCTTTAGATTTCATAGAATCATAGAGTTGGGAGAGATTTCATGGCCATCCAGTCCAACTCCCTGCCGAGAAGCAGGAAAATCGCATTCAAAGCACCCCCAACAGATGGCCATCCAGCCTCTGTTTAAAAGCCTCCAAAGAAGGAAACTCCACCACCCTCTGGGGCAGAGAGTTCCACTGCTGAACTGCTCTCACAGTCAGGAAGTTCTTCCTAATTTTCAGGTGGAATCTCCTTTCCTGTAATTTGAAACCTTTGTTCCACGTCCTGGTCTCCAGGGCAGCAGAAAACAAGGTTGCTCCATCCTCTCTATGACTTACCCTGACATATTTATACATGGCCATCATGTGTTCTCTCAGCCTTCTCTTCTACATGCTAAACATGCCCAGCTCTTCACTAGAACTGCTATTTTCTTCTTTGTACAGTCTTTGGAGCAGCATTATCAGTTCAGGGCATTTAAGTGTATTTTCAGGATCTTCCCATATTTGTTTTAGACATGACTTGTGCAATATAAAAGACAAATTCCAGGTCACCTGTACTTTTAATGACAATTTATTTTCCATTTGATGTTCTCCTCTTATTTGTATTTGTGGATTTTTTAATTGATCTATTTATTTATCCATTTTAGGACCATTAACATTGGGAGGTTTGAACCTTTCTTCCAGGTCTCTTCTCCCTGGATACTGCACCCTCTCTACCACAGGTGCAAAACACACCCTCCACTGGTGCCAATGAAAATATTCCCACAGACAGGGGTTGGGAAGGGATGTCAGGAAGGAAGCAGCTGCGTGAGGTTTAAGCCTCATTCCCTGCACGCAGCGGCCCCAATCAAGAGCAGCGCCCTAAATGCTTGCTTCAGTGCCATCAGCAATCTGCCTGATTAGATAGGAATCAAGTAGCTCCCAAGGCCATTTCTGTCTCTTTGACATATCCCCATCCACCAAAACAAGTAAAAGAGAGGCCATTCTTGAACAAAAGAAGAAGAAGAAGAAAAATGTCATAATTGTTTTAAACATCATACAGTCCACCCCCACCTTTAAAGGTTTTAAAATATCTTTCTGGAAATCCAGAAGAAGTGCTGTTCAGCGGTAGAATATGCTGCCTGGGAGTGTGGTGGACCCTTTCGCCTGACTAGGAATTTCTTGAAAGTCAACATAGCTACATCTTGGCCTTTGGAAATGGCATTGCTAGAGATTACTAAGTGTCACTGTTCAATGCATGCTCTAATTTTGCTTCCAGTGAACTGTGGAGAAAACAATGCTTTCACATCACTAAAAGGTTCTGATACTTTAAAAAACTAAGGTTCTCCAGAATATACAAGGGGATTCTTGATTCCCATATTTCTGATAGTCCTATGGGGAAAATACCTAAGTACATACATTTCTCAACACCATATGAGTGTATTTTCAAATAGGGAATAGTATGCACTTAAAATATTATTTTACTGTTTACCCACTCCCACCCTCCACACCTTCACCCTGGAGACACAATTTATACAATAAACTACAGAAATTACATTTGAAATATCAGTCTTAGTCTCAGTTTTTCCACTCCACATCTTAATACATTCTCTAAATAATTCCTAACTGGATCCCACATGTTCTTAATTATTATAACATTTTCTATTTTGTCTAGATTATTCAATTTACTATTTGTTATTTCCACATTTAGCATATTTACTATATACATAGTTATACCAATCTGTTAGAGTCCACTTTGTTTTATCTTTCCAACCCCTCACTAAAACAATTTGAGCACATGCAATTAATTTGTCAACCACTCTTTCCTTTTGCACATTAGACACTCCTGGTATCCTTGCATGTAATACATTTTATTGGCTATTATGATTTGAAGACTTAACATTCTATTAATTTCTCCTTCAATCGTTCTCCAATATGCCTGCACTCTGTCACATTCCCATATCATGTGATTAAACACACCTCTTTGTTTACAACCATGCCAACACCTGCACAACTTTCATGGTTTTTACCAGGCATAAAGGACAGGTGTTGGCATGGAAATAGTATGTACTTGAGTGGTCAAGAAGTGAGTTTGTTGCCTAACTCTCTCCACAGTTACTGTGCCCAGTTCAAATCACTTTGCATTAAACATGTGCATTCGTGGTAAACCTTGCACCATTTTGTGTCCCGGCTTTCGTTGGGGGCCCTGATATTTTTTTGTGAGCCTCCTGAAATTGGCAGGGTTGGGGCCAAAATTGGACCATTATGGAAGGTGTGTATGTGTGCTTCTCACCAACTGGCTCCCCTCCTGACACCTGCTGATTTTACTCTAGAGTAAGACGCACTCGGCTGTAGGTATTGGCAGGCGCGCGTGCTTTCTGGGCCTGCCTGCATGCTCTGTCACACACACCCCGTTGCACTCTCTGAGAATGTGTGTGTGGCAGGCCGTGCAGGCAGGCCCGGAGCATGTCTGCAGCCAAACTCTGGACCTGCCTGCCGGCCTGCCCCACCATACATAGTCTGTCATTCCAAGGCAAGGAGGCAAGTTCGGATGCATATGAAAGCAGGCTTTTGTGTCGCGTAGATTTTCGTGTGGGGAGGGGCCTTCCTGTTTCATGCTTCTGAAATAATGGAAGACACGAATGGTAGAAACAGTAGGAATGAATTCTGTGCATATATCTACTTTGCATTAGGATATTAAATATGAATGCATCAAATTCTAGCAGGAGATTGTTTTTTTTAAAAAAAATCAGTTCCTATTGCACCAAACAGCATGCCACTGGTCATACTAGCTGAGTGAGATGCCAAACTGCAGTCCAAAAAAGTTTCGAAGTTCAGGACTCACAAGCTACTTTATTTGGGGGGAAAACTTTACCTGCTTTGGGGAATTGATTCAGGAGTGACTATCTGAAGTTGCTTCATATAAAAGGAGAACATTGATTCAGCCATCTAGCAGTGGCTCTCTAAGGTCTTGATTTTGCCACTTGAAATATATTCATGCAGAAATGTCAGATACAGAAGTGGAACTTTTGCCATATGTTCTGCTGCTGTGTTACAGCCTCTAGTGTGGGATTAAACCCATGCCTTTCAAGGACGCAAAATACTGCTTGGTTTTTGACAGATGACAGCTGTGAGAATTCTTGTTATCACAATTTAACAATAAATAATATCAAAACACTTTTTTTCTGAAAAATAAAAAACCTTCAGACCTTCAATGATTTGTCAGTGCTAGAAGGTAACCTTAACTCTGCCTCTTTATCAATATGACTTAGATATGCGCCTAGGAAAAAGAATGGAGCTGCTAAGGTCACTGATAAGATTTTCACTAGGATGGAGCTCAGAACAAAAGCTATCTCTTCACCAAGGTTGAGCTCGGAAGAAAAGGTTTCTGCAAGTTTTCTTTCGAAGTCAGCTTACTCACCGGCATTGACTAATTGATTCCATCCTTTCAAAAGAGGACTGCCCCCCCCGCCTCACCTGAGGACAGTTTTTTTTAAATTTAAGCATATTTTTGAAAGAGCACTGAATGAGTATTTCATTACGTGAATGCAAAAGGAGTCTTTAAATAATTTAAAAATGGGGAAGTACCTAGGGTGTGGAACCTGAAGACTATATCACCACTCAAACAGGAAGCAAATGCACCCGTTATTTACAGTACAGTGATGGAAACACATCTGGCAGGAGGGAAAAAAACCTATAACTGACTCTGTTTTTTAAATGTATCTGTATGTACTTGTTTTTCATTATGCAACCCATGCTAGTTTTTCCACAAATCAACTGACACATCACCTAGTGCCTCTCATATTCATACCACACTTAAACCTGGCTTCTGTGGTTATTGAATGGAAGTTTATCTATTGAAGGAAATATGAGATAGAATATGCAAAGATGCTAAAGTAATGCCTATGCAGTGGTTCTCAACCCGTGTGTCCATAGATGTTTTGGCCTTCAACTTCCAGAAGTCTAACAGCTGGTAAACTGACTGGGATTTCTGGGAGTTGTAGGCCAAAACACCTGGGGATCCCCAGGATGAGAACAACTGGAGAGCAAACAGTTTCACCAAAATTGCATTTTGACAATTTCCTTATCACATAGTTCATATGAAAGATTAGCTTGTTGCCTATTGTATTTTTGTTGCCCATTCCAATTCAGAATGGATACCTCATGGATTACAGGAGCACCATATGCTAAGATGCACAAGGCAAGGTTTCATGACCTATTGCTGCCACTCTAAGTGTCACCCTGCATTCAATGGTCTTCAGATGTGTTCAGAGAAAACTATACACAGTCCTATCTATGGATGCAATTGTGAGTAGATTAATAGGCGGGAAGGTGCACTCATGCCAGCCACATGACATGTCTATAGACAATGCAGGCTCTTTGGCTTAGAAATGGAGATGAGCATCACCCCCCAGAGCCGGAGATGAAAGGGGAAGCCTTTACCTTTATCTGTGTGTCTGTGTTTCATTGTCTCAAAGCATTGAATATTTGCCTTGTGTCTTTGTATATGCTGGAATCCACCCTGACTTGGGAAGACAGGGCAGAATAAAAATTAAGTGTTATTATTACTATATTATCTCTGCATGCACTTAAAAAATAGGACAATTATCTAGAAATGAGGA